CTTTATAATAAAAAGCACGAAAGGCTGAGTGAATGATTGGATTTCTATAAAAATCTGCACTTGGTTTGTCAAGGGGCAACAAGTTAATTGCACTGCACGGTGTAAGAAACCGATCAATGTCTTAGTTTTGACATTTGAGTCAATTGTAAATCTTTTATTCAAAAGATCTCCAGATAAAAAACCTTCAGAGTTGATACATTCACACAACATTAACCTCAAGAAAAGACTTTTTAAATCCATCTAATCATTTTCTTCAAGGCTCAGTAGCTGTGACAAACAAGTTCATCCTATATCTGCTCTTTATTTTCACCCAGTGACGGCCTGACGAACTAAACGTGTATTTGTTCTCCTCAAAGAATCCTGGTGCAACGATTACTGGGGGAAAAACAATCCAGCCTCTCATAGGGAAGTCGATGGCCGCAACATCAGAGACTTCTCCTGGCAGAGAAAATGTTAAAACAATCAGCAGCCTCGAACCCATTATGATATCGTTATATTCTGATGCTATCTGCACAGAGATCATGCTGCGTTATTCAGATTAGCAATTAATAAACATGGCCGTGATAACCAGTGCAGTGACAAGAATGCATTTGGAATTGTAATTCCAAGAAGTGGAGGCAAAGATTGTACATCAAGATGGAGGAAATGGCAGCTCCCTAAAAGTGAAGCCAAAACATCTGGATTGCCCCCTGGTGGCTGGCTGCTGTATAAGTCATAAATGATGCCCCCTCCACGTTAACAGATGGGGCATGGACCAAACTTGGTCACTGGTTTGGGAGCGCCTCAGGTTTTCCCCAGGAAGACATGGAACGTGGAGAGGAGAGGGATAAGCATAAAACAATGGATTAATGGATACAATTAACAACAAGAAAGCACCATAAGAAAATACAGTTGGTGACATATAAAGGCATCAAAGCTTCAGTATTTGTGTGAAGCTACTAGAGATAATAGATTTAACAGGGTGCCTGGCACAGATGTCTTGTTACCGACTCATGACACGTGTCTGTTTGAACAAAACAGCAATGACAGGCGTTGTACCTGCAAAACCCCTCGTGCAGCTTATTTAAAAATAAATCCTCTCTGCCTCCTTAATTAGCTCAGTCAGCTCTGAGCGGGACAGCGTAGGGATCCAGTGCAGCGGTAGAAGAACTGCAGGAAGGCAGATGACAAATGCAAATATCCGAGTAAACTCTCCAGTCTAATAACACGATCCTCCTGCCCTGAGGTTAAACAGAGCCACTAATCACTCACTTTGTTTGGTTTGGGTTTTGTCTCCATCACGGCAGCAGGCAGAGAGCAATGTCTCCCGCGTCTCTCGAGCTAAAACATTCGGCTTTTATTGAAAGAAAATTTACAGAAACATCCATCCGCTGAAAATTCATCAGTTGAGCTATAGATTTAGTAAACGATGGCACTCGTCCCTGCATGTTTAACGACTTTGCTTGTTATTTCCTGATCAATCAGAGCAGACAGTTAAATAAATACTGCCTGTATTGGAAGTCTCAGATATTCTTAAAGAGACGCAGAGTCGGGGGGAAGATTGATGCATTAGCCTCTAAATAGGTTGACAGACAGCCTCTCAGACAAGTTACATAATCAAGGCTTTTTAATCCAGACACATGCCCCCCTGCTGGGACGATGCCTCAGTGCAGATAATGAAGAGGCAGTGTAGACGTCCACCGAGATCTACGACCAGGTTCTAACTTGAAGAAGCGTCTCCGCCCTCCTCCCAATCATAATGCTGATGTTGCAATAAAGCAGCGGCCCACACTTGAGGAGAGGGAACACCAAGTACTAGGAAACTGCATTACAGACGTCCCCCTTCGGAGTATTTGAAATGGAAACACTGGAAGGCTCGTTTTATTGCTTATGCCTTCGATGAGGTTTCACCAAACAGCTTCCGACAGTTCACGGCGGCGTGAGCATGTTTTAGTTATGGGACAGTTAAAACGGCTCTCGTATGGAGAGTGGGGGCGGCAGGGTTTGGACACGGAAGTCATCAGACATAGAACAGCAATTTCACAGAGGGGTATTGTGAGGTGAGGTTGGGATGAGTGTGAATGTGATATGAATGGTTTAATCTCTGAGGATATCAAATCTTCCTTGGCAGCCACCGCCTCACATTTTCCACAAGCTCCATCTTACTTCTGTGCACGGTCCTCGACTTAATGGAGGTTTTATTCATTTTGCTATGCAGAGGTGTGTTCGCTCCAGCTTTGGGCAAATCACACTGTGACATCACAAATTCCCAAGGAGACACTTTCTATCTGAAACTGTAAAAGTAAATACCGGCTGTTTATTCAAAGTTTGGTGAAACTCGACTCAGTACGCAGGAGAATCAGTTGTCACGATCAACGTCCCTTGAGTCCCAGATGTCGCTGCTACAGAGCTCTGGTTGTGTATTTAGTTAAATTGTGTTAATGTTGAAGGTATCACGTGTTCAAAACATAAAAACAATCAATGTTCCACTTCTTTGAGTCCAACATGTCGAGTTTGAAGATGAACGGTTTGAGATACAGATGATCAGATTATCAAAAGATTATCAGAACAATTATCAGTCAATTAATAGACATCTTACATATCGGGAGGTAATTGTTATATTAGATAGAAAACAAAGAGAAAAAACTTGTTTTCATCTATTGTTTCCTAAACGCTGCATATTGGGGGAGAACAATTTCAACATTAGACAGCAGACCATCCTGGGGTGGAATAACAAAGACGTATGAAATTTGTTGAAGAAGTGTAATCAGATGTAAATATGATTTCGTTGTGCAGTTAAGCTCTGAGGCTTCTAATTTAATATGTTTCTTGAAGGAACCTGTGTGACAACAGAGGGGGAAAAAAAACTAAGAAAATCAGATTTTCCACAAAATCAGAATAAATTAGTTCTGTTTGGAGATCCCAGCCACAGAATGAGAAGTCTGTGATGTCGCACAGACACACACAGGTTCCTGAGCTACAAGCAGCAGGTTACAAAGCTCACACCGGTCTTAGACACATTTCAAACGTTATGGTCCACGTAGAGTCCGAGAAGTTCGGCGAGCGTTTTCTCCCCCAAACGTCTGCTGCTCCTCGGAGATGACCGGTGCATCAGGTCGCTCACTGCATTTAATAAGTTTTCCACCCCCCAGAGACTGAGGTAATTCTTTGGAGATTAAGATGAGAGTGTGGATAAAGACAGTGGGTCAAGCTGTGCCCAGGGAGCGCACACTGTCACACACACATATTCAGTTAGTCCAGTGTTTGCAGCGGTCATGCCACCCTCCGGCCATTCAGTGTGCGGCGTATCTCATCTGTATGTTAAGCCTCATGGCATAGTTATTCAGAGTTCTCAGATTTGCCAAGGGGAATTAACTGCCTGACGGCGAGCGAGATTGCAATCCACGTACAAGGCTGCCTACTGGATATTTTAAACCCTTATCATCATCTGACATTTTATGAATAATATCCATCTTCTTATAATGTGGCAGAATCGCCGGGAGCCTTCGAAATCCTCTTCCTACATGATTAGAGAACATTGAAGTACACTTATGTTTATGCAATGTCTGATCACGCTAACAGCTTTTCCTATTAGCATAATAAATGAATTAGAGCAGCAGAGAAAGATCAGTGGGCAGATTCTCACCACGGGGAAATCGTTTATGTATTGTCTAACTACGATGCATTTGCTAATAGTCAGCTTTCCCAAAATCCTTCACTCTCTCTGTACATCCCTGCTGGTGTTTGCAAAACGACCTTGGTTTCTTCAAACCAGCAGGGTCATTTCAAAAAGCGGAGCCCTGTAATTCCTCCACTGTCTTCGGCTCTGTGATTAGTCACAACAGTGAACGGCATGCCGCAGACAGCGGTGGTTAGTGTGTCCGTGCAGCGACGTGCCATAAAGTCGTTATCATGACACTACATCTCTTCAGCAGCACAGACCGGCTTAGTGTACAAAACACTGAAGCCTCAGGGTTTATCCTCCATCAGCTGCTCCTGCTCTCCCCCCCCCCACTCTACTTCCTCAGCTCCGGGTATTTCTCTCTGCTGGCTTTTGCAAACGCAGGTGTGACATTGTGCTTGTTCCCCTCTCGCTCTTCATATGCTAAAGTCATGAACAACGGCGTGTTAAGAGTTGCTGTTAATAAGCGCGCAAGGCTCGGTTAAAAAGATTTCTAAACCGCTGGTTCCTGCAAAAGGTGCTCGAGCACACATTTGCATTTCAACACGGACGTGTGCCCGTTAGTGGCTCCTCTGGAAATAAAAGTGAGTGCTGCAGCACTCTGGGATAATGGTCTCAGAGCGCCGCGGCTTTCATACGTGCACTGAACTTTGGCCACATTCATTTACATCTAAGGCACAGCCACCTTCATTTTCTTTGATTGTCATGTGAGATGTGTACATTATGTATATTGAAGGTTACAGGTCTACAGGGACTGAGGACTTTATACTTTATGAAGGGAGGACTGAAACTGAAATCCATGGGGCCTTCCTACCATTGAAACTGCACAAGGAGTGAACTTTTTATTACATTCATACAAGAAATGTTACCTTCGACAAGGAGTTGTGGATGTTTTAATCAGCACTTGTGTGTTTGTTAGCAGGAGTACGCAAACACTCCTCCATGACATTTGGTGGAGGGGTGGGGAGTGACCACAAGAAAGAACCAATTCAATTTAGCACTGGATCTGGAATTTGTTCCACTTTCTTTAACATGTAGAGATAAGGCGTTAGAATAGAAACATGCTTACTCGACCGTCATGAGTTATTGCATGTCAATTGGTGAACTTTAAAAAAGGTGCTGCTCTGTTATGTTTGGACAAACCCAGGTTAGCCGCTGTTTACAGTCTATAGGAAGCTAAGGTAGTCAACGTTTGACTGTAGCTTCATTTTCAACAGACAGAGACAGAAGTGGTGTCCAATTTTTACTGCACTGGATATTGTTGAGGAAAAACACAATCATGAGATGAGAGACATTGAGGCACCATCTCATTCATATTTACCTTTCTCTTGTTCTACAGTGGCCATGGCGATTAACCATGAAGCTGGAGCCTAACATCCCCATCGCTTCCCTCTGTCAAAAAAAGCCTCTGCGGTGCTACATCGAACACACACTCTCTGAATATGCCATCCGAGTGCGGGAGAGCCGGACGGACTGCTTAGCACCTGCTGTAAGTACCCACTCTCTCCGACTCCGAGTGCTTACTCACGACACTCACACCAAGTCAAACATCAAACCAGATCAAAGCTGCGAGGTATCAAACTTCAGTTTGTCTCTTGAAATCTCGCCAGATCCAAATTTAAAGGCAGACGAATTAATTATTTACATGTCACATAGTCGGACCAAGTCCAACAAGGGCTCAATGCCAATGGCTAATTGAACCATGAACGCCTCGTGTGTTTGTGACCACAACTTATCAGTTGAGACCACGAACATTGGCAGTATTCGGGTAGGAGGCTTGAGAAACTGTTGGGTCATGGTAGTGCATAAGGAAAATAATCTCAGGTAAGTTACTCATGGTGAAACTGACTGAAGACATTTTATGTATTCCACTTTTCACTTGAGTGTTTAAGCAGTTCATTTATAATTCTGTGTGGAAGAGGCCCCTTTTCTTGGCCTGGTGATTGCTGCCGTTCAGAATAGCAAAAGTGAGCTGCAGTAATGATGAAGTAAACACAGCCCAGACTCAGTACACAGAACCTGGAACTGAAGAATCCCTTTTTACTTAAGAGCCGTCTGTCCGTACTCATCCGCAGTCGCCCACGTCTTCTGAAAGCTTGTGGATATGGAGGAAACAGACGACAGGAAAACATGGCTGAGCAGTGACGACTCCATATGACGTCAATTCATCCAGTCACAGGGACAAACAGTTTACAATATGGCTGCTTTTCTCTCAATCTAAGTCAGACGTTATCGCAACCTCCTCCACCGTCGCCATGTTTGTTGTCAGAAACGTGACTCTGCACTGCCCTCTAGTGGATCTCTTTTTTGTATGTAAAATCAGCATAAATATACCTTAACGGTCAGAATTCGCATACTCACACACACTCATATAAAATAGTAAAACTGTCTTCTCAAGAGGTAGGAATAAAGACTCACTTTTCTGATTTGAATAATTTGATGTTATTTTTATTATTTTTTTTCTAAAGCAACTCTAATCGATTTTTTAATATAAATATTTTCATTTAAGCTTCTTTCTTTCATAATTTTTGATTTTACTTCTTCAAATGGTCTTTTCTCAGATTTCCAGCAGCAGCAGGTGGCTGTCTGAGAAAAATAAACCCTCTGATGAAGCCAGCGTGCCCACCAGCAAATGGCAGGCAGACATATTTAGCAACTAGGTGGTGAGGATAGAGCAACATTTAGCAGCTAAAGAGCAAGAGGATTCCCTCAGGAGTTTGAGGAAACCAAACCGAGGCTGTGAACAGGACCCTAAATTAATGCTCATGTCGCTCAGCGCGTCCTGGATGTGTAAATAACCAGCAACTATTTGTAAAGTGATCATGTGTCAATGTTGTGTTTGCAAATTATCTCCCTGCCCCCAAAATGCCCAAGAAAATCTATTAATGTCGCCTTAGGCTAAATGACTGAGTGCCATTCAAATGCACATTAGTGTTGTAAACACATTATAGAAATCAACTGCATCTCTGCTCTTAATGACCTGATGAAAGGACGGCGTCCTCACATCAGTGTTGGGGCCTGATCAAGATACCGGTTGGTTGTAGCAAGATTACACAATATAGATATATATATATATTGATTTCTGCAAAAGGACGTCGTGTGCAGCAACGTTCGAGCACTTGAAGTCAACAACCTCTCTCTGGGAATGTGTGTTAACATTATCAGCTGACATAGCAACTGCAAGCACACACACCCACAATTACTCACACCAGCGTTTGATGCCGTTCCACCGACAACACTGTCAAGTGCTCTCCCTCTTCATCGTAGCGAAGCTGTCCAGAACCATATCTCAAATGGAATTTCAGCTCTTTGAACTGAGATTGTGCAGATGAGTGCGTGCGTTTGCATTTCTCCGTCTGGCTGCACACTGTATCTGTGTCTCTCATTTATGTCTCTGTTCTTGTGTTAAAGTGACCCCGTATTCATCTCGTTTTCTCAGTGTTTGTTCACATAGCACTCCCGAAGGACGGTCAGGTCGGTTCTGTGTCAAGCCAGCCAAAATCCCTGGCACAGATTAAGAGGAGAGGGCAGTGCCAGCCTTTTGAGGGCGAGAGTATAGTGGGAGCAGTCGCACCAATTAGAGACCGGCAGCCGGACCACCCAGCCCTGCCGCGCTCACCCCGGCTGGCTCAAGATAACAGAGTCGACACACATGCTCAGACAGACAGGCACACGTGGGCATGCACTCTCGGCGTACCCACTCATAACTTGGTGCCTTATACATATGCAACACAACGCCAAACATCATCCATTAGCTGCACCAGGGGCCTGAGGGTGCTGCTTGAAGTGTCAAATATGCATGAGGGAGTGGAGGTCTGTGTCTCATAATCCTCAAGGCAATTAATATAACAGTTTCCAGGGCTAAGCACCTAGATGCACATATCAAATCTCTCCCTGGGCTTTTTGAATTTTCTAGGTAGGTTAATTTACAGGTACATGGGCCAGAGGCTGCCTTTTATGGATTGAAGCCATCTGGGAAGTCGACGGCCGGCCATACATTGAGAATTGTCCACAGTGATGTATGAGGCTGCAGAGACAAAACCTTCACTGCTGGAAAAGGTTGCTTTCAAAGTGTCCTGCTAATTGTGTTGCAGCGCTGATCGAACAGGGTCTGAGTCTAGTTTAAATTCAGGACTCTGTTGTTTTCAGAAAAATACAATTCCACCTCTATAGAGCATTGAAACATGGTATTTGCTGCATTAACAGAGAATTACATTGCACAGACGCTCCTGCAGTTCCGTCGTCTCCACTATATTGAAAAACATTTAATTTTGCCAAGCTTTTTGTGGTTGCTTCTGCAGATGTTTTTAGCCTCCAGTCAGATATTGACTGAAATGCTCAGCCTAGTGTGACGAGAGGGGGGCTGGTATTCAGAGGCGTTTGGTTGGGGAGCAGTATTGATTGCACTTAAAGTGACAAGATTGAGGAGCCCCACTTGGACACGTTATCCCCGTTGCTGCTAACAGACAAAGTGCGGGCCGAAGGAGTGATGCCGATTGATTTTTTTTTTGTGATCGTGAACGGCCTGACACCTATGAATCAGATGTCCGAGTCGTGCTGCTTTAAAATAAGTCAACAATTTTTCATAGGGCTGTGGTAATGTGAGGACTGACAGACTGCTTGATTTAAGAGGACAAGTAAATACTCGGATAATGAATATGCCTCATGCACATTCTGACAAGTCAAAAAGTCCTTGCAGCTCTGGCAATAATAAACCTGCGTGTAGAGCACGTAGACTGGTTGTATATTCGAGGAGGCAGGTATTGCGCAGCAGCCGGGTTCGGGCATCTGAGGGATTTCATTGTGCATAATTCACTGGCGAAGGCAAGCAGCTGATATAGCCTCTCCCCCTCTTATGATCATCCATCAGGTAAAATAGCCTTTTTCTAACACTTGGCTGTCAACGAGGAATAACAAATGTAGCCATGCAGAGCAACACATGATTACAGCGTAATAATGCCCCGAGGTCAGAGGAATGTGACCTCATTCAGTGCAGCTTGGTGAAAGGAGCAAGTGAAATACTGGTCACATTAGAAGAAGAGTCACCGGGGAACGGTTCATCCTCATCTGAGGAGGCTGCGGCCAGGAGTCAGGCGCTGGGATGTCTGTTTTTGACAGGAGTGTTACTGCTGTGTCATTTACAGTAATTGAAAACATGTAATTTTCACCTTGATGATGTTGTTAATCAAAAAACAAGTCCTGCAGCTGAAGCAACACTATAGGTTGTCCCTGTCCAGGAGTGTTCTATTAAAATATGCAAACTCTTCCACAAACGTGATATTGGTATATAGAGAAAATTGGACATATGTAGCATAGAGGGAGGAATATATGCTATCGATACTGTCAGCCACTGGATGTCACCTTTCACTAAAACTGGGGGGTTGTAATCGTAGACTGTTTATAAAACTGAGTAGACTCCGGGTCTTCTCTTCTGATTTCAAATAACCAAGCTCTTCAGCTCACAAACCAATGGCTAACGTCACAGTGTGTCGCCACGAACACGTACGACCTATAGGACTCGTGTTATACATAGAGAGTTATGATAGCATACTGGTGCCGGATTGAAAACATTTACATCCCCGTGTTTCTGGCGGACCCCTGCTCAGATAAATCTCTCGCCGGTGGTACAAGGCTACTTTGAGCCCCACATTTGCTCTGATTGATATTGTGAAAATCCATCAAAATAATCTTCCAGGAAATTGCGCGAGCCTTTCCAGGAGGTGAAATCAAGATACAGGCCCACTCCAGGTGTGAGAATGAGGAGGAAAAGACCTGCAAAGCTGAAGATGGATATTTTTTTAAATCTCCATGCTTCATGGAGGATGGTATGGGGGGAAGCGTAAGCACAAAATTAATAAGTACACAACGAGATAGAGTAATTGAATGGAGGTTAGAGGGTAGAAAAAAATGTTAGACACGCTTCAGTGATCTCAGTTTCTTCCATCCCCGAGTTCCCCTTTCTGTGAGAAGCCTGCAGGTCTCTGGTTCTGTGTGCGGCGTAGCCAATTACCCATGAAAATAAGAGAGGGAAAGCCAGTTGTGAAAGATTAACACAAAACAGGCCCCTCCTGGATTCTGTAGCAGGAATGTGGATCCACCTTAGAAGACTAATGTTCGATACAACTTTTCTAAGCTCAGTGTATATGTGTGTATTTTTTTTCTTATTCTTTTGTTGTATCCCAGCATTTAAAAAAAAAAAAATGCACCTAATATTGTGTTAAGTGAGACAAGACGATACAAGAGCAACAATAAACTGGGAGTGGGGTTTATTGGATGTTTTTCTTTCTTTACTCCGAGTGCATGAGCAAACACATCATGGCATTTCATCACAGCAAGAGTTTGTCCATATGGTTGTCGTTGGTGGGGGGTGAAACTAATTGGAAGGTCTCTTGCAGGGAAGGACTCTAAGGACGTTTTAATGAATGGATCTTGGGTAACACAGTGGGATCAGATTTGGGACAATTAGAAGCTGCTCTCAGACATGAACTG